AAAAAGAGCAGCAAGATAAACCCCAATCCAGTAGACTGGAAGAAATAATTAAAATTAAATCAGAATTAAATGAATTAGAATCCAAAAAACCATAGAAAGAATCAACAAAACAAAGAGATGGTTCTGTGAAAAAATTAACAAAAATTGACAGACCCTTAGCAAATCTTATCAGAAAAAGAAGAGAACACACCCAAATAAATAAACTCAGAGATGAGAATGGAAACATCACCAGAGAAAAAAACCAAGATTCAGAACATTATAAGGGAATACTTCTCAAACCTTTATGCTAATAAGTTTGAGAACTTAGCAGAAATGCATTTTTTCCTAGCAAATATTGACATGCCGACACTAAACCAAGATGAGTTATACCAGCTTAACAGGCCCATATCAAGCACTGAAATAGAAACAGACCTCCCATCTAAGAAAATCCCAGGACCAGAGAGATTTACAGCAGAATTCTACAAGGCCTTCAAAGCAGAGCTCACACCAATACTCCTCCAACTCTTCAATGAAATTGAAAGAGAAAATTCATTACCGAACTCATTCTATGAAGCCATCATAACCCTCATCCAAAAACCAGGCAGGAACTCATCAAAGAAAGACCCATTTCTTTGATGAACATTGATGTGAAACTTCTCAACAAAATTTTGGCCAATCGACTTCAACAATTCATCCAAAAAATCATACACCACGATCAAACAGGATTTATTTCAGAAACGCAAAGCTGGTTCAATATACGCAAATCAATTAATATAATTCATCACATCCACAGGAGCAAAGATAAGAACCACATGGTTATCTCAATAGATGCAGAAAAAGCATTTGGCAAGATCCAACACCCCTTTATGATGATGGTTCTGGAAAAACTAGGAATCCAAGGAACATTCCTCAATACAATAAAGTCTGTATATGACAAACCTATAGCCAGCATTATACTTAATGGTGAAAACCTAAAGCCATTTCCTCTTAACTCAGGAACAAGACAAGGATGTCCACTCTCTCCACTTCTCTTCAATTTAGTATTAGAATGCTTAGCTACAGCAATAAGACAAGATGCAGACATAAAAGAGATCCGAATTGGGAAAGATGAAGTAAAACTCTCCCTCTTTGTAGATGAC